CACTCCCTGTAGCTAGCTCTGTAGACTTTTGATATCCTTTCGTACAAGGCCTATAGGTGGCTTGTTGAATCTAGGCTCTTTGTGATCCCACGCACTCCCATATGCCTCTGAGTGATCCTACGACCGAAACAGATCCGACCTGCCTTACCTGCGCCGTTACAATTAGCGCATATCCTGATATCATAGTACAATATTTTGCAGAGAGGTTGTCTACTTACTGACTGTACAATAGCCTGTTAGCCTATCTGTACATGATATTATCACGCTCTTGCGTAGAATCCAGGATGTTAACTTACTCCCTATACCGTATATGATTAGCTAATATCTACATGTAGCAGTAGGCTCTAATATCGAGCAATTGATGTACTTACTTCCTAGATTATATCTCATTAGCTCACCTATCCAGTATAACCATAATCCTAGAGATAGGAGAGAAGAGGGTGGTAGACTTACTCCCTATATCGTATCGTATCAGCAAATATACCTCTAGAGTAAGCGATTACAAAGACAGGATCTTGACTTACTGCCTATACCATCGATTGTTAGCTTACTTGTGTCTGTGCTGTTATATTCTTATGTAGCAGAGAGGCTTTAAACTTACTGTCTGTAATATAGAGCATTAACTAATGTCTGTATAGTGTAGTATGCTTGGATATAGATGTCTAATTCACTTACTGACTGTACCATTATTTGTTAGCTAACTTATCTGTACGCTATGACACTCTTGCGCAGAGGAGAGGATATTAACTTACACCCTATACGGTAGACTATCAGTCTATGTACCTTTACATAGTAGTAGGCTCTTTTATTAGAGAAGAGCAGTCAACTTACAGTCTATATTAATTCATATTAGCTCATATATCTTTGCACAGCACAAAGCTCCATCAAAACAGAGTAGTTAACTTACCGTCTGTACCATTGCTTGTTAGCCTACCAATTCATATAGTAGTATACTTATTCATTAAAGAAGGGTAAATCACTCACAGTCTATCACATGGCTTGTTAGTATATAGATCTTTATATAGTAATACACTATTGCATAGAGTAGAGGCTATTCACTTACTTCCTTTATCGTGGAGTATCAGCTCACTTTTCTGTATACAATTACGCTCTTACGTAAAAAGGGCATTGACTTACTCCCTGTCAGAATGTTAGCTACATCGAATAATGCACCAAAGGAGAATTCAGGGATGTATACAGTTTCACGAATTTGAAGGGTAGGCGCAGCTGCCACCAGGCTAATAAGAGCCATTACTGCCATTAGGTACTTCATGATTAATGATGTTGCAAAGAGCGTAGTTGGTATATAACCTATGAAACTGGGATGTAGCAAGTGTAATGAATGATGTGTAGAACATATGCATAAAAGCAGAGGGCTTCCAATTATATACTGGTGAACAGAACTGGTTAAGGGGCTTTTCTCTTCGTACTACAAACACGAATCTTGTGCAGTATGCATAACCGATCATGAACTGTAGACCTCGCATGTATAGCAGAAACCGATCTAGTACATTCCCATGTCGATCTGGTTCGTTCGGTCATATATCGATCCGCTGCGGCCCTACATTGGTCTTGTGTGATTTAGTCTCCTTTTCGAAAGGGTTGGCGCTCAGAAGAGCGATAGGCTGGGCATTGTGGTGTAGTGGCACGTGAATAGACGGCAGGTATATCGTTTCATATATTTTCGACGTAGACGGATAGATTTTTGACTTAATTTTAACACCAACGTTCGAATTCCAGCTCTCTGCGACTACTCAAGTGCAGTTCATCTCCTGATGTTTTGAACTCGATCACGTATTGTGCCATAGCATACAGGAGATTGTATTCCATAAACTTTATTCTCCGTGGCAAATTATTGCCTACTTGGGTACGAGTGACTCGTATGTAGTCCAGGCGCTGTTCGTATAGTCAGCAGATTACTGGTAATAGGGGCAGTACTCGTATTCAGTGATTCGACTAAGACAACAGCAAGGAATGACCTGGAGGGTGTTCAAGAAATTACAGATTATTTTTCTCTTCCCTGGTGCACGCCAAGTCAGGTGAGTTCTATGTGGAAAGACGTCTGCGCAATTGTGTGGCGAAACCGTGTAGTGTATTGCTATAACGAATCAACTGTATACCGATATCTAGAACAGCTGAGTTTGAATCTGGTTAAGAGAAGAGCTGGTAGAGGCTAACTACAATGATTGTAATAATAAAATCTATCTATCATTTGCGCCTCTTACTTCCAGTCCTACTACCAGACTTTCTTTCCACCATCACCAATAGCAGTCTCGATTTCTGGTGGCTGGCATCACGGATGGTATTCTTCAAGATCCACACTCTCTATAGTAATGCTTCGAACTAAATTTGGAGATCATTATGAGCTAGAACTCTCTTATCCTCAGGCTATCTAGGTTTGTTTCGCACTCAGACTGCAAAATGGGATGCAGCTTGCGGTGTATGTAGAGAAATGGAATCCGGGCGGTCAAGTCTTGTACCTGAATTCTACATGCGATAACGGATCGAGGCCCTATAAAGGAGTAGTGTGGGTGGTCAATGCGTGCAACGGGTCAGACAATGCAACACCACCACTAAAATGTCCGCCTATCAAAAATGAGGCTGTAGAGCACCATACAAAAGCTGTTATCACGAGATTTTTTGGTGGAGTAGTCTAAATAGTTCAAAAAACAATCCTATCTACTCAAATTTCTTTGGCAGTTTGATGTTGCGGCCGCGCATTGTTGTTTTGGTGGTGGGCTGCGCAGCCGACGATGCAGACGCATCACCACTTTGGCTGCCTGCATCACCACCACCCTTTGACTTTTTTGACTTTTGAGACGATGAAGCTTTTCGTTTAGGTATATT